GGGATCGAGTCCCACGTTGGGCTCCCGGTTCGGTGGAGAGTCTGCTTCTCCCTCTGCCCCTCACCTGCTCTTGTGATCTTTCTCTCTTTCAAATAAATAAATAAATAAAATCTTTAAAAAAAATAAAAGCCAGCCACAAAAGACCATGTAATGTATGACTTCATTTACATGAAATGTCTAGAATAAGTATATATATGTAAATACTGATATAGAAGTAATTATATGTGAATATATACAATAAGCGAATTATTATATAATAAGTGAATACACAGATACAGAAGGTAGACTCGTGATTGCTCAGGACCAGGGGGAAATGGGGAGATAAGGTGGTAATCCCTAAAGGGTATAGGGGTTCTTTCTGAGGTGATGGAAATGTTCTCTAATTGGCTGTCGTGATAGTTGCACAGATCTGTGAATTTACTAAAATCCGGTGAGTCCTACACTTTAAACAGTGCCTTGTACGGCATGTGGATTATATCTCAATAGAGCAATTCAAGAGAAAAATCGCCCATGGATGACTGGCCTAGCATGACTCTTAGGCTCTCATATGTCCTATGGTAGTTCTGTCTCATGAAGACTGAGAAGCAGAAGCCGTGTGGTGCTGTGGAAAGAGCAAAAGCTTTGGAACCAGTGACCTTGGACAACATGTTTAGCCTGTCTCGGCTCTGGTTTCCTGTCTGTAAGCTGGGGTTAGTAAGGCCCACCTTACTAAGTTGTTGTGGTATATAGGAAAGCCCCCAGCCCCTGCAGTTCTAACATTCCCTGATTTTGAAGTGTGAGGCTTGAGTGAAGAGGGAGAGGTGGGTGGTGTCTGTCTGTGGACAGAGAGGTTTGCCTTGCGTTGAGTCACACACACCCACGAGGGAGTCTTCTCTCCTGTGTGGACCACAGGCTGGTCAGCCAGAGGGCTAGAAGGATGGTTTGGGGATTCACTGCCCCCTGTCACATCCCCAAATAAGAGAGATGAGGTAGAAGTTAGAAAGCAGGGGGATTTGTGTAAGCTCTAGGGACAGCCCTGCGGCCCTTGGAAACTGGTGGGAGTGAGGCAAAGGGGAGAGTGAAGAGGAAGCCAGACTCCCATAGAAATGTAGCTCTTTTGCAAGGCAGTGGGATGGGCTGGATGGTTCTGATGTATGCCTTCCCAACTCTGAAACATCTGCCAAAAATGCAGAGATGCTTTTCTGAAAACAACTGGAGGATAGAAAGAGGTATAAAGAAGAGCTAGACAAGTAAAAAATAAAGCAAAAAAACCAACAATTTGGTAACAGAGGTACTTAAATACTAGGAAAATGGTACTAACAGGCCAACCAGAGTGGTAAGTACAAGTTCTGGATTTATGAATTCGCCCACTCACTAAAATTTACTGTTAATTCCAAAATCACTCCTCATGGTACTTTTGAGGGCATTCAAGGACATGAGCAGAGCAGTAAGAAATTTGAGTCACCCCGTGTTCGTGTTCCCTGCTGAGGTCAAATGAAGGCTCTGCCTTCTGGTTTCAGCTCTCCTACTGTAAACAAGTATTTTGTTTTGTTTTGTTGCCGTCTATGTAGTGCTGTGTTTTCTGCCTTGTTTCCCTCTTGGTTGGTGATTTCGCTATACAAATTGACCCCCAGATGTAGCATTGAAGTGCTGTCTGGAGTTCAGAGCAAGCTTTCCTTAGAAAGCTGCCATGTGCCCTATGGAGAGAATCTGTTTGTCAACCTTCATTCAGGCCTGCAATGTTAATGCACCAACAATCCACATCAAATAAAGTGTCTTTAAACTGAAACACATATAAAAAAAAGGTTAAGTATTGATCAGCTGACAAAAATTCTGTGACCAGAAGTTCACGGGCACCCAACCCTGTATTTTCTCCAGGAACTGCTATCTGCTCTCCAGTGCTCACGTCTTTATAGACCACCACTACTGCAAACATGAGCATTGGCCATCCATGCTATGTGTTTTTAATGCATGTTCTCATTTGAACACCCACAAAGTAGGTGTTCTTTTTGTGCTACAGGTAAGGAAGTTGAGGTTATCTGTATTAACGTGACTTAGAGCTCCCATGTGGAAGTGGGAGGATTTGAATCCATTTCTCTCCCACTTTCCAGAGAGGAAGCGAACTCTCTAGCCCGGGAGCCTGAATGCCAGTTCTTAGAAAAGGCAGATCAGGCCCGTGTATCAGGGCTGTTGGGAGGGCACCCGGAGAGCTGAGCGTAGTCAAGAACATGGCCTATCTGTGAAAGGAAGGGGAAAGAACTGGACACGATCATCCAGATGTAGTCTGGTCAGGCTCTGGCTGAGCAGGGGGGAAACGATCATCTGCAACCAGCACAGAAGAGAGGCACCAGAATGAGGAATGGGTGCCAACCACACCAAGAGAGAAGCAATGGTGGGAACAGGAATGGTTCCGCCTAGAAATGAGAGTGTGGGGACCTACAGGAGGGATCTTTAAATACCTAGAGGGCTATCTTGGGAATGAGAACTGGAAGGAAAGCAGGTTCAGAGTTATAGCGAGCAGGTTATGACTCGGTGTAAGCACCATTTTCTAATACTCAGAGCTCTCCTACAGGCCAAGATTGGGGACTGGTGGTCCATAGGCTAAATCCGGCTGCAGACATGTTGTGTTGGTTCACAGCGTTTCTGAAAAGTTGTATTTCAGTGCCCTGCTGTGGGACGTGTGTCTCCAGTTTCCAGAGCCTCTGCCGCTCCCTGTGCTTTGAGTCCCCCTTCACTCATGTGTAACTTGACTTGCCCTTCAAGTATCAGGTTGACTGATTCAGCAAATAAAAATACAGGATGCAGAGTTAAATTTGAATTTCAGACAAATGACAAATCCTTTTTTGTGTAACTATGTCCCGTGCAATACTTGGGATATACTTATACTGTGTCTATAGTTAGTTATGTCCCAGTACTTGTGATTTACTAATAAGTGTCCCACATTCAATCTGTCAGCCCTACCCTGGAGGCCTGAATTAGGAGCCCTGGAGGCTGCATTTTGAGGAAGCATGTTCTATATTTGGGAAATACTTGAAGACTTGTCTCAGAGGAATGCTAGGGATGGAAACAGGGCTAAAATGATCTAAATGGTCTTATTTTCTTGAGATTCCCCCATTTCAGAGAGACAAAACAATAAAAGCTAGAGGGAGATAATAATTCTAAATAACAACCCCAGGTGCTATTCTGGTGTGCATGACAGGTGGGATGCTGGCTTGTGCTGGAGCAGCAGAATGTTCTACCAGAACTGGATTGACGGAGAGATACAAAAACATAAAGTGTTTTTGACCTCAAATATCAACTGCTAGTAAAATGCTTGTTAAGTGCAAGTTGATGGACATGTCTACGGCCGGGGACAATGGTGGCAATCCCTTTCTGGATCAGGACATGAACCAAGAGGCATACAACATCCCCAAAAGGTGATTCTGCTTTATCTGTCAAAAGCCATCTTCTACTTCTCCGAGCCTGGGGTAAGCAATCCTGACACTTTTTCCATACCCTGCTGCCAGAAGTGCGTTTCTGGTTGTTTTGAACAGACCGTGGCTGACTCCCCCGGGCCTGGAACATGGTGGCAGTTGATAGCGAGCAGAAGCTGGCCCTCGCGCGCGGTTACCAGAGCCTCCGTTTCTTCTGCAGAAAAGGAGGGGCAAGATCTCTGAGGTCATTTCCAGCAATTGTGCCGCTGAAAGTGTCAGTAGTCTTTGGTCATCAGCTAGCCTTTCTGCACCCTCCTCCTGACCTCCAAGGAATTAGGATGTTTATGTTCAGTGCGACTTGAGTGAGCATTTGGTTGAACTCCCTCATGTTGGAGACAGAGCAAGTTCCCTTCATGGGAGGGTGTGACGAGGTCCAGAGCTCTTTGTGGCTCAGTGGGTGGCCTCCCATTCTTCGGCTATGGTTCATCTTGTCTCCCTCCCTTACTTTTACTCAAATCTTTCAAGGTCCCTCACTCAAAACAGAGAACATGACAAAAGGCACGGGGAAGTTAACAAAATGAAAAAAATATTTGTGGGAGAGAATGCACTAGACACTAGTGTATGGACTGAAGTGCACACAAAGGGAATATCCTTAGCATTTCTAATTTGTCCTTTTCTGGAAAAGCTCCTAGGAGACCTGGGCTCTGCCCTCTCTTTTAAAGACAGGCACATCCGGAACATCCCCAGGTTGACTCAGATGCTCATTAAGTATTCCTAATGATGCTGGGTTTCCTTCACCATTCTCCTCTTCATCAGGATTAAACAGAGAAAATCTCAGGGGTTACTCAAAGTGAGTAAAACTCAATAAAACTCCATTTCAACTATTGTAAAGTTGGGACAAATTATTTGATATGTGCTTTTTATGGAAAGATTGAGCTTAAAGTTGAGAAGTAACAAACCCAGCAACCTCTGAATCTTAAACAGAGGCCTTCAGGTGACTTAACGGCTCCACCATTTTCAAGTGATGGCTCTATTTTCACTGTCCATTCTTGAGAGGTATTCTGTCTCCTCCATGAGAACTTCAGGGGACCCTCCCCTTTCCACCTTGTTAAATTTCTCAGGGTCTTGTATTTCTGTTATGCACACGGACCCCCAGCTGGCAGGTGTTGAATGAATGAGTTGGAAATGAAAGGAAAAGAACAGGGGCTCTGGAGACAAATACCCTGGATGAAACCCCGGTTCCTCCGATCACCAGCTGGTGAACTTGGGCAAGTTTTTAGTTTCTCTAAGCCTCTGTTTTCTTATTTGTAAAATGCAAATAAACCACTTCATCTACAGGGGTGTTGTAAGGAGAAAATGGAATAGTGAAGGCACTCAATAAGCAGTAGCTCTTACTGTACCTGTTGAATCTACAGCAAACTTAAGCAACGAGAACCACCACCTGGCAGTATGATTTTCTAACCTTTCAATGCAGTCCCAAACTTTGTTTGGCACAAAGTTACAGACTGGCCATCTGAAGGATGAGTTGCTTTGTGTAACTGCCCACTGTGGTGGGCACTATTTTACTGGTCCCTAAGAGTGTTTAAGGAGAAGCATTACAGTCAACAGTGGAATGCATGCCAATTGTTTTATTTATGATGCCTACTTGGATGACAAGGCTAGCCAGCACATGGCCCCCAGGGAGAAGCCTGTGGCCCCATCCCCGTCATTACTCCACAATGCGGCGGAAAGACTGCACAGCTGGGGAAGCTGCACCCCAATCAATGGGCTTCCGGTACTCCTTCTTGTCCAGAAGGTACTGCCTGCCACGGTAGTTGGGTAGCTCGTAGAAAATCCAGACGCCGTCCAGCACCTTACTGGAGTGGACCTCTCGCATGTGAAACTGCTCCATGATAGAAGGGCAATCTTCAGTGGTTTCGTACATCTGGCCATTAAAATCTCCTTTCTCAAAGATCTGAATCTTATACTGGCCTCCACTAGACTGGAAAAACACGGGAGGAAATAAACAATGATGTTTATGAAAATCACCAACATGTCAAGAACTCCCAGAACGCTGTGGTTCAGAACCCACCATCTTGAAAGCCAGATGATCTGATCTCCCAACCCCGCCGTGCTCTGACTGAAACAGCTGACCTTCGGTAAGAAAAACTTAATGCCTTAAAGTACTCAGGAGGTAGAGAGTGCGCTCTGGAAATAATTCGTGTATTCAGTCTTGTGATGAACTGTAAGCCTATGTAAGCCTCAGCAGCCAACAGAAGAAAACACTGCATTAAAGGGTAGGAAAATGTTAAGAAAATGCTTCCACATAAAAGTAAAAAAACAAAAAAAAAGGCGGGGTGGGGGGGGGAGTAGGGGCAAGAGAGAGAGAGCCAGAGCAGGTGAGCAAGCGAGCGAGCAAGCGGGATCCAGCGGGGTCCAGACTCACCAGATGAACAGCTCGGCAGGAGCTGAGGCGGTCATTGAGGCCCATCCAGTGCTGGTACTCGGGGTACTCGCCCCGAGGTAGGATGTACATGTAGCCCGCGAAGTTGGGCCTTTCGTACACGGCCCAGGTGCCTCCCTCCACTCGAATGGAGTTGCAGCGACTCAGGTACATGTGGAAATCTGCACAGTCGCAGTCACAGTCATAGTGGCGGCCTTGAAAGTGCTTGTCCTCATAGAAAGTGATCTGAAGGGCGGGGCAAACCAAGAGAAGAACTGGGGAGTCGGGAGGCTTTATTCATAAAAAAATAAAGACCAAGAACATAATCCCCACTTTGAAAATTCCTTTCTCTTCGACTTTGAGGAGGAAATGCAGAGTTCTACCTCACCTCACAACACCTACCTTCTGGCAGACAACTTTAGAACAACAGGAATGAGAACTTTCTGAAGGCTTAAAATGAAGCAAAACAAAAGAGTGCCCTAAGATAAGCCAGACCCATGTTCATGGCTTCCTCCTTTTTTTTTTTTTTTAAAGATTTTATTTATTTATTCATGAGAGACGGAGAGAGAGAGAGAGAGAGAGGCAGAGGGAGAAGCAGGCTCCCAAGGAGCAAGGAGCCCGATGCGGGACTCGATCCCAGGACTCTAGGATCATGACCTGAGCCGAAGGCAGACGCTTAACCATCTGAGCCACCCAGGCGCCCAACTTTCTCCTTTTTGTTCCCATAACTCACGGTACTCATCACATAAGAAAATAAATTATCCACTTATATATCTCTCTCCCATCAGACTCCTAGACTTCTTCCTGGGGCAAAGACCAAGCCTTATTCAAGCTATGGACCCCTGTATCCTGCACTGGACAAACCCACAATAAATGTTGGATGACGATGAGTGAGTTCCAAATGCAGGCCTTCACTGTAGGTGATATGGAAGATACACAGAGAAAAATAAAACGTACCTTAGCTTTAGAGAGCTTATTTTAGATGGATGTGGAGCATACACATGACAATATTTTATGTTCTGTATTATTATTTTATTGCCAACAGAGTAGTTACAAAGCAACAAAATGACAAGTCAAGAATGTTCTTTGCCTCAAACCCTTTACCAAGTTTTCTCCCACAATCTTTGGGGTAAACCTGAGACCTCTAATGGCACGGCCGCCCGCAGCTCTGAGAACCGGGAAATAACAAACCTGGGCTCTTGAGCTGCATCTCTACGGTCAGACTCACTACTTTAGGCAAGCCGCCTCTCTGGGGCTCCTGCTTCCCACTTGTCAGATGAAGGACCAGACTAGATTGAAGCCCTGGCTGTAAAAATAAAACGTTCCTATTTGCAACAGGAAATAGAGTTTCCAGGCACTCCTGGGGCTTCGTGACGCAGGTTCTGAAAACCACCAGACGAAACAGACTGTAGAGTTTGCCCCTTCTTGTTTTATAATTCCACAATCCAAGATAAATGCTAGTTTATCATTGAAACGGAAAGCAAGGTGTCACGGAGTCAAGCAGTTAATTCCCTAGCGTTATGCTGCCACCTTGTGGCTAATTTGCGTTATCGGTTTAGAAGAAAATCAGGTCAAGCATTTCACAGGAAAGGAGTAGAGCCAGGTGGCCTTGAGAGGATCTCTGTCCAGGGGCAAAGGAAAAAGGATTACCTGTTCAAAGGAATAAAAGAACATGGCCCACTATAGGGACAAGTAGTTCCTCAAGCTTGGCGCATATAGAGTCTGCGCATATAAGAAGTATTCGGAAATAAAGCCAGCAGCCTGCTGCGGATGCCATGCTAGAATCCCTTTGGTGATGATGTGCGTGGAAGCAGGCCGTTGCTATGGGTGTGGTGAGAGATGGTGCGGGCCAGACAAACGGCAACTGCTAGCTGAGGACACGGAGGGAACAAACAGTCGAAAGGAATGGAGGATTTGGTGACTGATCAGATGTAAGTAATGATGGAGAGGCAGAAACCAAGAAGGACTTGCAAAAGGCCATAAAACCTCAGTGTTTTCTACCCCAGGGGAGACTTTCTAGATCATAGCCTACTGATGGTTATTTCCTTCCACCTTAATCTACCCTTCTTGTCTCTCTCCTTTCTGTTTCCTGTTCCCTACGAGCTTCCTTACCCCTTCTCAGCCCTAAATCATCTACTTCATTTCCTTTCTTCCCCTCCCAAATTTCTCTTCCAGCTCCATTTCCCACTTCAGCATAGCAGATTGAGAGATACATGGCATCCCAGTCTACAGATGAAAACAAAATTGCAGCACCACTAGTTACTAGCCCTGTGACCTTGGATAGGCCACTGAACCTCTCTCTAAAGCTCAGGCTCTTCATTAGTAAAATTGGATAACAATATCCACTGCAGAGGATTGTTCTGAGGAGGGATAATGCCAATAAAGCACTTAGTTTAATCTGGTTCATAATTGCCGATAAACTTTTGCTACTGTTGTTACAGATAAAGAAGTTAAATGACTTGCCTAAGGTCAATAGCTAGTTACAAGTTTGTTGCAGGCAAGTGAGTGGACTGCTGTGCAAAACTCCTGGTTAGTGACCTGTGATTGATTTGATCTTCCCTCCCTTTGCTGTCTTCCCACCTACACAGTTAGCTCTGTTCCACAAACACCATTTACTCTCTTAGTAACGGAACAAGACTGATTCTGAGTCTGAGAAGCTGTCCCCAAAGCCTATGGAAAGATCCTTAGGAAAACTAAGGTAACTTCACTAAGAATTAAACGATTCTAAACTCCTTAATTTAACTTTAATTCAAATTACCTTTGGTTTTTGGTCAAGTTGTCACCAAAAAAAAAGAGGCTTTGCAAGGGATACGCTATAGGAAATAAAGTTAGTATCTTTTTTACTTGAATGTTTCTCACACTTAGTGCTCTCTGCTCATTTGCCTGGCTAACATCTATATACAGGATGTTCTATAAGGTCACCTTGCGGGCCACCCTTCCAGCAGACTAGCCAGCCATTCCAAGGCTGAAACAAAGTACTGTGTTGCCATGGAGCCATTACTGAGCTCTAGAACCAAGCTCTCCTTTCAGTGGGAGACCTTCCAAATCTCAGAGCCCAGAGAATGTTGTACTTCTACTCAATTTCCATGTGCAGAAGGACCATGAAATCTACTCTATGGTGAGCTGAAATTCTTGGGCAAAAAAAAATTTGTAGAGAAGGCTAAGAAATAGTGCTGGAGATTTCCCTAGAAATTATTACAAAATTCCCCTCATTTTCGTTTAGTTTTTGAAAAATAGCCTATTAATCCAATATAGCACAAAGAAAAATGTTGAGTATTCGAGAGGCAACAAAACCAAATTTAGTAAAATGCATTGTTTTTGCCAAGCCTATAACTCTGATTAAATTGCTAGTAAGATGGCGGGAAAGGGAGAAGCAGTAGAGAAAGAGATTAACTTGCTCTTTTGCCCTAGTAAGCAAGTTAGCTAACCACCATGAACAGCGCAGCTACAAGAAATAAGAAAGCGCACTACTACTACTCTGGAAATCTTTTTAAAGTGGGGGTATTTTCATCTAAGAGGGTTCTTTTTCTTTTTAAGGATTTTATTATTTATTTGAGAGAAAGAAAAAGAGAAAGAGCACACAAGCAGGGGTGGGTGGCAGAGGGAGAGGAACAAGGAGACTCCCCGCCGAGCAGGGAGCCCAACACGGGGCTCCATCCCAGGACCCCAGAATCATGACTGGAGTCGAAGGCAGACGTTTAACTGACTGAGTCACCCAGCTGCCCCAAGAGGGTTCTGTAACAGTCTTCCCTCAAGGCACATGGATATTCCTCTAAGGACTTAAAAATTCTTTTCAGTGGGATGTGCATGGCATGCTTTCAAGAACCTCAGAGCACTAAAGACACTGTCTCATTTTTCTCCCAAAATCTTTTAAGATGATGAGTATGATTATTAGTTTTATTTTCCAAGTGGAAAAAAATCAGGCACTAACCAATTCTGGAACAAGTTAACGGGAGCCTCCTGACATGATGTGATGGGAAATACTTGACGTTGCCTGTGTAACTTTCTGGCCAAAGATGGTTAGTCTGAATCAAAACATTAGGAAACAATCAGACAAATGCAGATTTCAGGACTTTCTACAAGACACCTGGTCTGGACTTTGAAAAATGTTAATGTCTCAAACTACAACAACAGAAAGGTAGGGCAACTGTTCCATATAAAAGAGGCTAAAGGAAAAAAATGGTTAAAGAAACATGGCAACCAAAGGTAATGCATGATCCTTGACTGGATCCTGTATCAGGGGAAAAGCCAGCCATGAAGCACATTTGGGGAAGCAACTGAGGGAAATTTGAATATAGTTCGAATATTAGGTATTATATTTATTACAAATTTGGGGGACAAGATAATGATAGTATGTTTATTTTTGGAGATACATGCCTAAATATGGCAAAGGAATTAAGTTTATTTACTGTCAAATGGTTTAGTACAAAGAGAGAGACAGAGACCCAATATAGCAAAAGGCTAACAATTGGAGAATATAAGTGAGGGATATGCAAGTATTTGTTCAACACTTCTTTCTTATTCTGTTAAGATTCAATGGGTTTGAAACTTTTCAAAGTAAAGAGTTGGGTGGGATGCGGAAATCAGGCACCAATGGCTTTGCCTTACACTCACTGGTCAGTGGAAGAGCTAAAATAAAGAAATGAAAGTAGAATCCCTCATTCCTAAAGCCCTGCTTAAGAAATCAGTTTCCAGTCCAACAACTGTGAATCAAATATTTGAGAGTCAATTTTCCTAATGTAAGCAAGCACTTTATTTCAGGAGATGGGTAAGAGTAACTGCTTGAATGAAATGGATATGTAGGATTTAATTCACTTGATTGGTCTTTTAGAACATTACTGGTGGAGGCTCACTTTTACAGAGCAGATTTTTTTAAAAAAGATTTTATTTTTCAGTAATCTCTACACCCAACATGGGGCTCAAACCCTGAGATCAAGAGTTGCATGCTCTACCAACTGAACCAGCCAGGCACCCCTCACAGAGCAGTTTTTAACTAAATACTAAAAGTTTTCTACTCCACATACTCCTTTTATCAGCATGACCTATTCCTGGGGAAAGTCACAGAATATTGGTTCCTGGAAGGCAGAAATCATGATGATATCTACCTGTTATATACCTGCACAGTATTGAACATCCCCCCCCCCACAAAGATAAACCCTTAATAAACTGTTGGGGAATTCTGTCAGAGTAGAAAATATAATGAGCGTTTTTTAATCTTCTCTCCCAATCCCAGCCTTCAAACCACTATCATACTCACCTTCGGGCAAAGAAGAAAAGCTTTTCACCACATTTCTTTCAGTGTATCTTTAGGTACATTGGAAAAGAGGAAATATTCCAAAAGAAAGGAAACACTGGAAAGAAAGGTACAAAGGAAAAGCAAGTGGTAGGCTATAAATCAGTGTGACTGCTAACTTACCTTGTTTCCAGACTTAGACATTTTGGTGCATAGATTGGTTTCCCCAGTGCTGGAATCCAGAATAGCTAGAGAGAGAGGCATAGAGACATTTATAGTGCGCTGGTTTCAAATCAAACTAGTAGGGAAAGCTTAGTCATGAGAATAGGATCCAAAAATTGAGTCAGTCATTTAGAGGCTATTGATGGTTTCTAGAAAAACAATTGGGATTATGAAATAAAGGAAAGCTTCAGTACCCCTTCTAATGCTTACCAAGCCTTGCTGCATTATAGACTTTGCTGAGTCAAGGCACCAAAACCCAGCCAAAGTTTTCCAACTTAAAAACAAAGAAGTCCCCCTTATCTGGGCAATTTGGTTTTCTAGCAAGCCGCCACCTTGAAATCCTCAGTGTCTTCTTTTTTCCTTCAATAGAGTTTGCAGGAAAGTCAAAAGGCTACCCTCTAATTCTGAACAGAAATGACATGGTCCAAAGCAACAAAATGTAATGACTACTAAACACAATGCATGATCTTATGTTTGGAAAATGTCACTACAAAGGACATTTTTGGGAAGATTAGCAAAAATTTTAATCCAGACTGTATATGGTGCCATTGTGAAATTTCCTGAATTTAATCAATTTAATAATTTGTACTATGACTACATAGGAGAATGTCTTTATTTTTAGGAAATACATGCTAATGTCTTTAGGAGTAAAGGTTTAAGATGTCTGCAACCAACTCTCAAATTGTTGAGTGAAAATATGACTACTGTGCAGAGTGGTAAAGTGAATGTGATGTCACGTTAGGCAAGTGGTAAATCTAGACAAGGGGTATGTGGGGATTCAGATTCTCGCAACTGTTCTTTATGTTTGAAAATTTTTCAGGACACACACACAAGTTCTAATCCACAAGAAAGGGCTCTACAATATGTAGCCTGAGGGACAGAAAGCTACTGTAAGAATTACGGTCCTACCAAGGTTGAGCTAAGCCCAACTTGCCACCTGCTTGGTGGCATTTTTTTCTGCCATGATATCCTATGGGAACATGCTCAGAGGACATTTCTCGGCACCTATTACACCTCTGACTTTTGGAATGAGATTACATTTTATGTAAATTCAAAGAAACCACAAATCAATCTTTCTCCATTTTCATTTTCCTGGTCAAGTATATTCTTCTTAAAAGTCCATCTTCCTCATGTTTTCACTAATAAAACTATCCAACAAATGGGATGCCCCCAAGACATATTATGGTCAATTCAGAAAATGGTAAATGTGCCTTGATAGGAAGATTATTGAGAAACAAATTAGTAAGTTATGTGCTTAGCTTTCTGAATTTGGTAAACTGGAAAGGATCTAAGTGATACCATTAATTTCATTAACCAATAGCAATTTCCAAAACACACTTGTTACTCCAGTGTTTCTTTATTGAATTCTCTCTTGAACTTCATCTTAAAATAAAAACTCTGAAAACCTCAGTTAGAATTAACACACATTCTGAGAGTTAATTTTCACTTTAGATCAAGCCCTTTTTTTGATATAATTACTAAATCAATGACCAGTGAGCATACAAAACAGTGTTTATCAGTGGATTCATTTAATAATTTAATAATTATTTAATAATTTAATAATTCTTTTTTCCTTTATCTTAAAGAATACAGCTTTCCCAATCAAATGTAAACTTTATTTTGACATAACATCACAAAGTGACATTGGTAACTGAGAGGAAGAATACATGACCCCAAAATGCCCTACTTTAACATGTGGATTATTTTGAGCTAAAGGCAATGAAGACCCTGCTGATTCAAGAAAAACTTTCCCTTAACTACCTAAAATAATTCAGATAGGGAGCCTGGCCCAGGAGAGCTATTACCAGAGGGAACTTTTAATCTGAATGACCCATCTGTATGACAAGGCAAACATCTAACTGCCACATATCTGCTCTTCTTAACATCCTGTGAATTACCCTTTGAAACCCCAGGCCCATATTCCATTCCTTAGCTCAGGGTGGCATATAAGCCAACTGCCTGACTTGTTCCTGGACTCATATTCTTATGAGGCTCCCATAGATATCTAATTAAAATTGTTTTTCTCCTGTTAATCTGTCTTATGTCAATTTAATTAATAGACTAAAGCCAAAAGAACCTAGAAGGATAGAGGAAAAATTCTTTCCTACCCCATAAAACCTTTTCTAAAATTAAAAGCAAATCTTTTATCTTTTTTATCAAAAGGAGAAAATTACTTTTTAGAGTTTGCTTATTAAAAATTTGAAGCAGAAAATGAAAAATACACAATTTCATTGTTTCACACTTTTAAGGAATAAAATATCTTTGTATAAAACTATTTCTGCTATATTTATACACCAACAAACTATACTTTCATTCCAATTATTTTTTAAAAGGAGTAGCATTTCCTTTTAAATAGTTTCAAAGAACTATAAAACTCGTATTTAACTCTAGAAAGGATGAGACCCTTTCATCATACAAATTAAAATGTGAAAGTTACTTGCAAATCTACATTCAGTCACTTTAATATTAATATACAATGAAACTGCCTTCATCAACTTCATTTTGGGAACACAAAGATGAGCTTTCTGATGTTCTATAACAATACATTTATATAATAGTCAGAAGTTCATCTAAAATTCGACCTAAACAGTAATACACCAGTATGGAATGGAAATCAAGGAACGGTGTTAAATAGGAAGGAAAAAGCCCCAATGTCTCTTGAGCAGCAAGAGCATCTTCCCAATTTAGTTTCAAGACGTGTACCATCTTCCATTCATCATCCTCCTGTTTCCAGGCCCCTGAAGATAATAAGAGAAAAATATTAGTAACTTTTCTACTGCTTTCATGCAAATAATAGGAAAAAACTTCTATTTACAATATCATGTAAATCAAGGCCATGTGACAGTTTATAGAGTGTTAAATACCTAAGGTTTTAAGGTTAATTATTTTCCTTTTTTTCTGAGGGTCACTTTAGTTCATAATAGAAGAAAAGACATGAAAAAGTGGCAGGCTATCAGGATTAGCCTCAACTAAAACTTCACCTTCTTATAGTTCCCATTTCCTTTGGATAATCCTCATCAGATTCCTAATTCTTAATCTCAGCATTTATTAAATAAGTATTATAAAATTTTTGTGTAAAAAGTAATACACAATTTAAAATGTAAACAATCTATAAACAATAAAGAGTAAGTTTTTGCAGTTTTGGAAAACAGTTCATTTCCTCAAAAAGTTAAACCTATAACCTTGCAATTCTACTTCTAGGTATATACCCAGAGAATTGAAAACATATGTCTACACAAAAACTTGTACACTAAAGTACCTAACAACATTATTCACAATAGAAGTGAAAACAACTGAAAAGGGGAAACAACTCAAATCTCAGATCAACTGATGAACGGATAAAGTGTGGTATATCCATACAATGGACTATTCCAGCCATAAAAAGGAAGGACGTACTGATGCAGGCTACAACATGGATGACCCTAAGGCCATAATGTTAAGCAAAAGAAGCCAGGCACAAAGGCCACATGTCCAATGATTCCATTTATAGAAAATGTCCAGAGTTGACAAATCAAGAGACAAAAAGTAGATTAGTGGTTGCCACGGACTAGAGAAAAGAGAAGATACTGGGGGTGGAGGAATGAGAACTGACTGTCCATGTATACGGGCTTTGTTTTTAGGGTGATGAAAATATTCTGGATTTGTCAGTGGTGAAGGCTGTACAAATCTGTCACTATGCTAATAAAAGCCACTGAATCCTTCACTTTAAAAAGGTGAATTTCATGGTATATAAATTCTGTATCAATAAAAATTAAGAATAAGTTTTCAATCACCGTAGACATCTAGTCTCATTCCTCAAAGATAAACACTTTCAATAATTTATGTCCTTTCAGAAGTTTTTAAGACATATAATTAGCATATAAGTATGTGCGATAAGCCCTCTTTTTTTTCAAACACACAAGGCAATATTTTACTCCTCCTTTTCTGCCTTCACCCCTCCAAACCCCCAGCTTAGATTCAGTATCAGCACCTACAGGTGGTAAACAAAATGCCTTACCAGTGTTGTATACCAGCTTTTGATCCTTGCCAATCTGATAGAGGAAAAATAGTATCTTACATTTCTTTAATTGTAAGTAAAGGTATCTTTGTGTTTGTAAGTATTTTTCTGTGAACTATTTGATATCCTTTGTCTGTTTTTCTATTGTTAGTCTTTTAAAAGACTTCAAAACAGAAAAGTAAACTAATTTCTATATTGAAAAAAGAGTATTTTATATTTGGATTAAATGACTTCTAGTAAATTTGTCTGTATCCATGTTCTCTTCTATTGGATCTGTGATCTTCCAGAGTTCAGTATTCAAATCTTCATTTGCATTAATTCTGGTAATTTATTAATGCTCATGTGCAATTAACAAAGATCAGTTAGCTTAGTTGATTTGTGTGTGGGTGATGGGAAAGATGAGAGATGTGTTAGAAAGGGGAAATACAGCTGAAAGCTATGTATGGGGCAAGTAGTATCTTTGGACAGTACAACCTGTACTAGGCAAGAAGCAAAGAAGACAAAACTTGGCCCTTACATTTGCCCATTATTTCATAGGTTCCACCTACGGAATAGTTTGGTTTTCACTCTAAAATGCGGCAAAAATAGGTATGTAAAGTCTGTATATGTCAGTGGGTCTGGTGGAGAAAAAGAGGCAGTGGCCAGTAACATAATATTCTGCACAGCTTTTTTGCATGCTTGTAAGATTTTCCCAAGATAATTTGTTCTAAGTGGTCTACGTTATAAATGCCCACCAGTGTTTCCATGTAGGAGTCTTATCCTGCTGCTTGTTTGGAGCCTGCGGCAGGGGGCACAAGACTGTCCAGCTGTTGCCGATGTCCCGTATTAATCAACCACTCATAAAACTTATTCTCCACAAGTACCTGGAACTGCTTCCTTTGATCCCTAAAAGCGCCATCAAGAACAAAAAGAATCTAAGAACACCAATTCATGTTCATTTTACTCCAAGTGATTATAAAGTACTTTAATGGGATAGACATTAAATTATTTCTAGTTATCCATTTATTCCCTCCAAAT